ATCCCTCTCAAGAAAGGTCAATGTCGGAGATACCCTTTGGACTCAAAGAACGCCCACAAGCTGCATGGACTTATATATTTGTCAGGCTTACAGAACTAATACTTTTGGTTCTACTATATTTGGAATCTGGATTCTATCTTGTTTTGGGCTATGAAACTACTAAATTATATATATGTCATATATATATATATATGTGTGTGTGTGTTACAGTATTAATATGCCTGAAAATTGAATTTAATAGTACAATCCCTCTCAAGAAAGGTCAATGTCTGAGCTATCCTTTGGACTCAAAGAACACCCACAAGCTGCATGGACTTACATATTTCTCAGGCTTACAGAATACCCACACACATATATCATATACAATTATCTATTTTCAATTATAATCCTGGATGGTACTAAATGGAACATTGTTTAAACCTTTTACTTTCTTATGACAAATAAATAAATATTGTGACACTGTATAAAAAAGATTTCCTTTAAAGAAATAATGGGGGGGTAACATAATACATTTCTTCTACATAAGAATGGTCACTTCAAATATCAAATTTAATAAACTATTGTAAATATATGAGATTTTACAGTTCAATTTCTCCATGTACACATCTCCCCTAACATGCATTCAGTGTTCTATGTTATTTATAGTAAAAGACACTTTTTAAAAAACGACAAAGGAGAATCACTGAAGTGTTCACCTTATTGACTTTACTAAATTTATATTAGTTTGAAAGAGGATGTTGTCCTTAATGGACTATATGAATGAGCATTTCCGTGTCACGATGCCCTTGACACATTACACACCTACCACACTGACTTGAAACTCATTCAGTATGTCACAGGATCGCGAATCCTGTCATTAATTTTGGTGCTATGGGTAGTCCAATGAAATATCGTTTACTCATATCGCTTTGTGTTTTGGATCTTTTGATACATTTATGAGCTTTGAATAATAATAAAAACCAATGACTTTTAGACCATTTCAAAGTGTTGGATCTAAAGGGAAAATATTAAATAGGTTTTGAAAGTTAAAATGTTAATTAAAAGTATTTTACTTAGAATACTAATTAGTACTTAGCAGGCATTTAAATAATGCCCAGTTTCATATAAAACACAGAGCTGAATAAGGCATGGGAAGGTTAAAATCCAAATGGAGGTATTCATAGTTCCAGCTTTCTGAAGAGCTAACCATGGAGAAGGCCAGCTTGGGCCCAGCTCCTGTCAGGAACTTCAAATAAGAACAGGGAGAAAGCAAACGCTGCAGCCTCTGGGGAACCCTAATGACATGATGAGGCTGCGATCAAACCTCACTCCAAAGCAGTGGGAGTTGGTCACGTGGGGGAGAAGACACTCCTCCAGGGAACCTTCCGGAAGGACATCTTGGTGTCGCCAGCTTTCTCAGTCCTGCCCAGTGGGACCACTGGTAGTCAGGGCACTATGTTAAATTCCATGTCCATGCCGTGACCACTGCAGAGTGCGCTCTCTGACATCTGCACCAGCTGCCCTTCTAAAAGTGTCATTCATTAACTACCCATGTGAATTTGTCTTGTGAATGAAAGAAAATGTGGATGGATGGTATATAAAAGTTCTTGGAAATATCCCAGTATTCAAGCACAGTGCCAGGAAATTCCCAAGAGGACTAAGTGCAATTTATACTCGTAAAACAAATCAAAGAATTCTTACCTTGAGTGAAATTCTGAGTCATGTTAAAAAAAAACACGTTTTCACTTGTTATCAGTAGAATGAATCAGCAATGTACATCTGTACCTAAAAATGTACACAAATATACATTTTCCCCATGAATATTCCAAGATAACTCACAGCTTTTAAAAACGTAAATGTTAAGGGGTCTAAATATGATCAAGATGTATGAAATTCTCAAAAATTAAATTTAAAATTTTTAAAACCCTAAAATGTTGTTATATATAGGTATTGCTATTACTTTATTGAATCAAATATGGATTTGGGGACTATTATAAATAGCTGATCATGGTGACAACCCCTTTGAAAGCACTTGTGTGACAGTGCTCTGAGAAAACCCACAAGAAGAAGACAGGGTTGTGTCATCAGAACTAAAGTTTCATTTGGGAGAGACACACTGATTTATGGAAACTGATTGTAGAAGTGATGGTATCGATTTTAAGGAATGAAAAATAAATTGATACATTCAGAATACTTGACAAGATATTTTGTCAAAGCAATAGCTTCCGATCAGATAAGCACAGCAGAATCATCTGGGGAGGGGTAGAAAGAGCAGGGAGCTGGAGCACGTGGGTTGAAAGGAGAACTACTTATTTAGCATCATAATGATGGGGAAAACCTGATGACTCTGCTTGTACTGTGTGAATCACTGAGAATATTCTATTGAAGATCCGCTTTTAAATTTATTACCTTTCCATAGTCTTAAATATCTTGTTGCTCTTGACATTTTTTTAAGACGATAACTCTTCAATGAGGCCAAGTTGACATGGAAACATTTTACTTATTTGTTTACCTGTATTAAGAGCAGTGCCAGTGAGATGTTCATATTTCCTGAACCACAAGGAGGTCTCATGGTCTAGAGGTAGAACTGAATGAATGTTAAGGAAGAGTTGTAGCAAACATCACTGGTCACTTGTTCATTATTACTGTCAACCTGCTTGGTAGAGCAATCTCAGCATACGCAGCCAGCCCAGGCCCTCAGCAGGGACTCCTAATCAACACTTGCTGTTACGTGATGGTCATAAAGTTGAGATGCACAGTCTGTACCTGTCCCAAACTCCTGCTCATTCTCTCCCCACGTAGAAACGGTTTTCAGAACTGATTTATCTCTCTTCGGTCTCGCACCCTGGACCCTCACCTGCTTTACATCCTTTCTTCATCATCCGCTTTCCCCTTCCCTTTTCCTTCTGTATTTGGCTTCTTCCTCTACATCTAAGCACATTACAAGGTCATTTCAAGTAAGGAACTGTGTGCAACTCACCAAACAAAAACTCAGTGTCTTAAAGACAGATTATTCCAGCAACTCCGTGTCATATTGCCTGCTTTTTTCAAGTAATTAATTACATTTCCTTACCATAAGCATCTTATAGCCTAAATGTGTCTTGTTTGTTGCCCCAGGCCTGAGTGACTCATTCAGGGTCTGCAGAGAGCTTCTGATGATCCGAACCTCAGATCTTCTCTTTAGGCCTCGCCATACTGTGTGTGTGTGTGTGTGTGTGTGTGTGTGTGTAGTGCTGACAGAGCAGAGATTTTCAAATGCTGGCATATGTAATAATCAGATTTGTTTAAAATGCTAATCCTCTAGCCTGATCTCTAGAGGTTCAGACTCAGTAGGTCTGGGGTACAGGAATCTGAATCAACATGAATAAAACCAAGTAAAATCTGGTGCAAGTGACCTGTTCACGTTGACCAGTATTCTTTCTTGAACATCCTGTCATCAGTCTATGCTATATTGTCTTTGTCTTCTTCTTTCCTTTAAAAAAAAAAGTCAAAATTTTTCACATCATTTCTCTGATAATAACTCTTCAAAATTTCCTATTATTCTTAAAACAGCACCTAAATCCATGATCACATGCTTAAAGGATCCATAAAACCACACCTCAGCCCACCCGGCCTTCTTTTCTCCCACTGTCCTCATTGCTCACCCGCTTCCATTTATTCTCTCCACTCACTGTCTCAGGGACACTGTTAACACCGTTTTGTCTTTAGCATCTCTGCTTCTCTGTTTCCTAGACCAAAAGCGCTATTCATGGCTTGTATCCATATCTTGAGATGCAGCTCAGACGTTATATCTTCACGTTTCTTTTGCCACAGTCTACGCTCCTTGACAAAAATGGAGTCATTGTATTCCATCCCATGGGCCATGTCTTAACATGATGAATGTCTGCAGAAGCAATGGACATAGATACAAGTGGTAGATGAATAAACAGTTGAAGCAGTCACTGAACGTGGCCAGATAGATTTAGCCACCACTTACTCATATAACCAGACTTGGTTCACTCTTTGTTACCGCACTGTGTCATATTTTGTTGTTTATATATATTTTGAGTTAAATTGTACATTTCATAATATTTGACTTCCTAGCATGTCATGCATGACACATGGTTGCTAGATAAATAATAGTCTTAAAGAAAACATGTTTTCCTGCTTCCTGGGGGGAGCAGAAATAGGAAAGTTTTCCTCAAAGCATCCTGCATAGTGAGTGCTGCACTAAATCAGGGCTGAAAGCAGAAGAACAGATGGTTTTAGACCTCAGCTCTCTTCCTGTTGCTTACAGTTCAACTGGTCCTCCGTTATCATCAACGTGAACTATCATGGGTGAAGCCCAAGTTGATCAAATGCATGTGCCATCTCACTGATGCTTTAATCTCATATGTTCTGGCTGTTTTGCTAAGCATCTATCCTAAAGGTGCTGAAATAAACCCTCTAGGACAAAAGAATGCTTGGTCAATGCCAGACCTGTAACTATGTAATCTGTTAGAGCCTGTCTGTCAGATGTATGGTGGTGCACACGTTTAGTCCCAGCACTCAGGAGGCAGAGGCAGGTGGATTGCTGTGAGGTCAAGGCCAGCCTGCGCTACATAGTGAGTTCAGGTCAGCTGGGACTACAGGGAGACCCTGTCTCAAAAAGAAAAAAAAAAAAGTTTTACCCAGCTATTCCTCCTCCTAGGAGTGTAAGTTGTGTCATTTGTAGAAATAATTTCTGTGACAACCATGGGGTTGCTGTCAAATTTATACTGTTATAGCTGTATTATGTATAATACTTGTGAATATTTGTTGGATGTTTCCCCTGTATTGAGTGCCCTACAACTTCCCAAGTTCTTGTGTAGACTATAAACCCCCTTTTATGGATCATGAAATAGACATAGATAGTCTCAAAATCACACAGCCAGTGAGTGACTGAGCCAGGATGAACCAGGGCAATTTGACTTTAAACCCAGCATTCATTTCTGCACATAAGGGCAACAGGAGCTGATTTCTCACCATCTTAATTCTGGATGCTTCCCCTTCTCTGACCACAGGGTGAAGAAGCTGAAGGAGACCCTGGTGGCCGTACAGCAGCTGGATAAAAATATGAGCAGTCTGAGGACTTGGCTGGCCCACATCGAGTCAGAGCTGGCCAAGACCATAGTCTATGACTCCTGTAACTCAGAAGAAATACAGAGAAAGCTTAATGAACAGCAGGTAAAACTACAAACAACTGAAAGCAGATTGTTGAGCCAGGGAGCATCGCTCCTCTTGTCCAGGATAACGGGGATGGGCATGGGTATGAGAGGTTGACTTCCAATGAAAGTTTAGGAGGATGTGAGGCAGGATTGATGGGGAGGGAGAAGCTTTGTGTCAGAGAGTGGTGGTGACAAGTGGGTTTGGTATCTCTGCAGAGCTGACTGTTAGAAAGCTGTCTGTGCTAGCATAGAGTTAGCATCCAAGGACAGAGTTAGCATCGTTGATCCTCCGAGGAGTAGGCTACAGTGGCAAAGGGATATACAAAGATCATCAGATTGTTCACTTACTTGTGGTCACAACCCAGCACTGTAGACTTAGGAAGCCCCTTTTACTTCCATGGAGACTGTTTAGAGAAAAATCGCAATGTACATTTACAGTTTTTAGAGTAGAAGCTGTTTGTTCTATGAGAAGGACTGTGTGGTCTTCAGAGCACATACAGTAATTTACCTTTATGAACACAGTAAGGGAAGCACATCTAATGCTGATAAAACATGTAACTCAGCATAGCACAGGATGTCCCTAAAAATGCAAGGAAAAGGAGTTTTTACTTCTTAGCCCCTTGTTTATTCGTAGTAAGTAATTAGACTCTGTCTTCAGTTGTCTTCGAGAATTCCACCCAGACTTTGGTTTCTTCTGTTACAATACACCGCTGTAGTCAAATTGCTTGACTTAAAAACAAAAAAAAACTTTTTCAAATCCTACAAGATAGTTAACATACTTATTTCATTTTTACAGCTAATTTGTACTAATTAGAATAGGTGTTGGGTGTGGTTCTGTCGGTGTTGGATTTATTTCTGTTCTTTAGCAGTTTTATACCTTTATAAAATTAGTGTTCTCTGAAGGATATGATATTTGAGGCTTTGATGATCGTATTAGGACGGTCACGGCTGGCTTGAAGCTCCCCAAATTCTCCCCCAGAATGTGGTGATGGTGTGTGTGGGGGGTGATAGTTGATAGCATTATGGTGTGTGTGGGGGGGTGATAATTGATAGCATTAAGAAGAGTTTGATTCGTTCTTAACCCTGTGTAGACAGCAAAACTCTACACAATTTAAGAAAGTTTCTACCATTAAGGAATAGAACAAAATAAATAAGAAAGGGGGGGGGAAGGAAGAATAAAAGTAAATATATGCATTATAAAGGAAGGTTTTAAAAATTTAGCAAAATGAGAGGTTTTTACATTCAAAAACAGGTACTATTGCTTTTTCAGAAAAGAACATCAGAATTGATCTTATCTCCCACAATGTAAAATAAAAAGATAAAAAATAGAAGATAAATACAATAAAATTAAAGGGTAATATAGAAGTTTCAAAATCCAATGAAATTATTTGATAAAAATGTCACCAAAACATAAATGTGTGTGTGTGTATATATTTGGTCTTTTTGAGACAGGGTCTCCCTGTAGCCCCTGGAACTCACTATATAGACCAGGCTGGCCTTGAAATCACAGAGATCTGCCTTCTTCTGCCTCCCGAGTGCTGGGATTAAAGACATGTGCCACCATGCCCGTCCTAGCAAAATATTTTTTAAATGTAGAGAAAGAAATGATTAAAGTAGTGGTACAAAAACTCCCAAAGGGGGGGCTGGAGACATAGCTCAACGGTTAAGAACACTGAATGTTCTTGCAGAAGACCCGGGTTTGAATCCCAGCACCCACATGGCAGCTAACAACTGTTTGTAACTCCCGTTCCAGGGGATCCAACAGCCTCTTCTGTCCTCCCCGGGCATCGCACAACACGGGTTCACTTACCTACATGCAGGCAATACACGCATACACATAAAATAAAAATAATAAATAAAAGGGAGTTTTTTAAAAAATATTTAAGGAAAAGCATATGCTTCCAGATCATAAAGCTCTGGCATAAATTCCCAGGAAATTTTAAAACAAACTAAACCATCTTGGAGTTTTGCATAACACTGTTTCAGAACATAGAGATGAACAGATCTATTATATGATGTTTCCAGAGTGGAGAAAAGCCCAACATCTCCCAAACATCACTGGATATTAGGAAACAGTAGCCCTTTGCCCTCTAAAGTCTGAGAAAATCATTTATAATATATAACTGGAGAACCTCCTGTTTAATATACAGAATTTTACCACCTATCCGTCCATTTTCATGGAGTTAATAAAAGGTAGGTTACATATCCTAATGACTAAAGCAGTGGGAAAAATAATATGCAGCATGGGAGAAAGAAAATTGGAGTGTTATTAAACTATAAAAAATGCAATCCAGTCCTGTTATGTGCAGAATAATGGACTGAATTGGAGCACATTATAGTAAGTAAAATGTACCAGAGACAGATAAATACTGAATATTCTCTCATATGTGGAAGTTAAAAGTAGACTTGAGTATTAATTAGAGATTACTAGATGTTGGGAAATGGGATTTGATCAATGTGTACCATGTGTGTACTAAAATAACACACCTAGCCTATTAAGATGCACATAGCTCATACATGTTAAAGATAATTCTTTGAAAGGTAACTCTCAGGGTTAAGGTGGAGATGGTCCCTGATGACAGCTTCCCAGCCCAGGGAGCACTGTCCTGGTTAGAGCTGGGTTTCAAGGGCTTCATAAGGGAGTTTTGGAGCAGGAAGACAGTGGAATTGAATCTCCCATTGGACTTAACAATCCTGGAAGGAGAGATGGCAGAATCCAGCAATATAAATCTGAGGGAGAGACGGTTACCAACTCCAGAAAAGCAAAGAGAGACATAAAAAATTAAATACAGCCATAGCATGGTTTGTTGCTCAAATGTGGAAAATATGGAATATGTGTAATCATGAAAGCAGCGACTCTTGCTCCTACTCTAAATTGTGTTGTGAGCCCAGTGACCATGAAGCTCATTCCCTACTGCAGAAGAGTCAGTGTCCAAAATGGAACAATGAAGTGGCCGTAAGTACGATACTTAGAAATATCAAAGTGAATCGTCAGAAGAAAGAGCTATAAGGGGTGGAGGTGAATACTCCTGGCTGGAAAGAGCCCTCCTTTATTAGAACCTTTCTTGTAAATCCTATTTTTTAATATATGTATGTATAGCTTTTCAATTCAGTTTTAAATTGCCGTTTGAAAACTGTATTACTGGGAGCAAAGTAATTATCCACTTCCGCCCTCAGATTCCTTGTCTATTGATGGTTGATGATCAGAATTCATACCATAAAGTGTGACTATAAAAAGATCTCTGAGCACATTATCTAGCACAGAATAAATATTTAGTACATTTTATTTATTTTTTTGAGACAGGGTCTCTCTGTTACCCCAGCTGGCCTAGAACTTGCTATGTAGACCAGGCTGGCCTCGGTCTCACAGAGATCCTCCTGCCTCTGCCTCCCAAGTGCTAGAATTAAAGACATGTGCCACCATGCCTGGCTAATTTTTAAAAAGTTATCATTGTTGTGTATATAACCTGTGTATGGGCGTGCACATGTGCCACAGTGTATGTGTGTATAGAGGTCAGAGGACAACTCTGCAGAGTGTGTTCTGTCCCTCCACCTTTGTACAGGTTCCCAGGATTGAAGTCAGGTCATTAGGTTTGCTCAGCAAGCCACCTTCCTGGACCCTCTATCTTTTATTTCAATCATTTTAGATTTGCTATAATTTGTAAAAAAGTTTGAGAACCAGGTCTACAAAAATTGAACCATTTGAGATTTATGTTGTAAAAGATTTTTAAAAGTTACCTGTCTCTAAGCAAGAAAATTCTGACAGACATTTCATTGGAGAGATTAAATTGTTAAGAAATGCATATTGGGCATATCAGGAGACTGAGGCAGTCAGATCTCTGTGAGGCATGTGGATCTCTGTGAGATGGAGGCCAGCCTGGTCTATATAGTGAGTTCCAGTTCAGCTAGGGCTACAGCGAGACCCTGTCTCAAAAACCCAAAACAACAACACCACACACACAAAAGTTGTTAAGAAATGCATCTTCTTCTGTTTCCGTGTGTAGTTTTTCTGTTTCTCTTGCCAATGTTCTTAAGTCTTCAGTCTTACTTGTGTGGAACAATAATTTACATAGACTTAAGGTGAATTTAGGAAATATTTTTGCCAAATTTCTCTGTTCTATATATGAAAAACTAGATTCAAGACAATAATTCAAGAACCCATCACCCATCAAGCTTAAAACCAACACTAAAATCTACCCCATTTTAGGTACTTACATATGATCATAAAATCACTCAAGCTTTATGATTGTTTTTCTATTTCACAAACTTTCACAATATTTGGGGAAAATTGCATCAAATGCCATGTTTTAAATGTGTGGATTATGTTTAGGTACCTAACACTACTTCCAAATACATATCCTTGCACCAAAACCTTGAATTTATTTAGCTGTCTCATCTACAGAAGTGTCCTTATGTGTATATGTTGGCAAATATTACATTAATTTCTGTCATAGTTCATATCTTTTTAGGTTAGCAACCTTCTGATACACTCTTCCACAAAGAGGTAACAGTACAGATTTGAAAAGATTACTTACTAATATTTTAATAGAATTTATTTTCTTGGGTCTAGTTTATAAAAGTTCCAAGACTTAAAAAATTATTATATTTGACAATGAGTCAGTCTTTTCACAGATTGTAAAATGGTGTCATAAGAGAAAAGGAAGACAAAGTGCAAGAACACAAACTTTAGGTATCTGAGTAACTTGTGCAATTATTAGAGTAGCAGAAAAATGGGGTAAGTTCAAAAACTACTTTTGTTTAAATGGAAATCATTTAAGGATATTGATGAAGAGAAGAGAGGGCAAACACAGCACCTGAAGAGCTCACTTTTAACAATAGAATAGTGTGAGCAAATTGAGCTGTTAAAGCCTGTGTTGGCTAGCTCTCCATCACTGTGAAAAATTAATGAAACCCTCTACTTTTAAGAAGAAAAGCTTTAATTTGACTGATGGCTTTGGTCACAAGACCCTGTTGCTTTGGCCCATGGCAGCACAGTGCAATGAAACTTAAGAGTGTGCCACAGGACACCTGCTTACCTCTTAGCAGCCAGGATACAGAAAAGGAATAGGATGGAGCTGGGGTCCCAATATCTTTTTGCAGGACGTGCCCCCAGTGACCTGACTTCCTTACCAACGTTCTGCCTGCCAGGGCTTCCTCTAATCTCCCAATAGTGCTGCAGGCCAGGCCTTTAATTTATGGGTCTTTTGGGGAACAATCTGGATCTAAAATATGGTAAAGCTCAGGAGAGAAAGTAATGGATTTTTTTTTTATTTGCGGTCTTTGCAGCTAACATGAAAAGTGCGTATGTCAGAGTTGGAAAAATTCAGTTTCCTGCTTTTATCATAAACTTTATATTTCTGTCCCACATTTTAAATTGTACTCCGAGAAAGGTAATGATGATATAATTCAAGAAAGAAAACCTAGGTCCCTTGAACTGTGGTACCTCTTGATAGAGATGGCATTACTTAGAGCAGTTGCTATGAAGCTTAAATCTCAGTTTTTAAGTAGAATCTATTCACAGGTGCATATGAATTGATTGACCAATCAGTCAGTTGTTTGTAATAGAAGTGATGTATCTGTGTGTGTGTGTAGGCATACATATACTGTAGTGTACATGCGAAGGAACCTGCACATCTTCACGTTGGTCCTCACCATCTACTCTGAAACAGGAGCCCTTGTTCCTCACTGTGTACACCACGCTAGCTGGCTCTCAAGCTTCTGGAGATTTTCATGTCTCTGCCTCCCATCCTGGTGTAGGAGCACGTACTGCCATGCCTGGTTTTACAGGGGCTCTGGGGCTACAAACCCAGTTTCTCACATTCACACAACAAGCACTTTCCCACTGAGCCATCTCTCCAGCCTGTAGTACCATTCATTTTCCCTCTTCAGTTTATATTTTGGCATTTCTCATGTAGACGAAGTATTTCAATGCCCTTCTTCTCTTGCTGTACCTTTGAGCTTCCTGGATGTCACAGATGAGGCTCCGCCAATGTCTTTCATTGAAGAAGTGAAATATTTGTCAAGATGTGGCCTAAGCACTTATCAGTCGATAAATCTGGCTGTAGGGCTGTAGGTTCTATCTACATATACCACAGATTTTTAAAATAAGGCATGCTGCCTTCCCCCACAGGAGCTTCAGAGAGACATCGAGAAACACAGCACAGGTGTCGCCTCTGTCCTCAACTTGTGTGAGGTCCTGCTGCATGACTGTGATGCCTGCGCCACGGATGCCGAGTGTGACTCCATCCAGCAGGCCACACGAAACCTGGACCGGCGGTGGAGGAACATCTGTGCAATGTCCATGGAAAGAAGGCTCAAGTGAGCTGGGATGTTCAGTCAGGGGAGAGGAAAGACCAGAAAGACAGAACAATCATTCTTTTAGAGTATCTGTTATTCGCTATTTCCCTTTGTTTAGAAATTCCCAGAACAGGCTTCACTTCAGAGATTTGCTTCTATGTACATGTAGTTGGAAATACAAGTATGCACAAATGTAATTTATAAGTATAATTAGCCAAGTTATATCAGAGCTGACAGTTTAAATATCACATGTAAAATTTTAAATATGCCCTTGCCAAATATGAAAATAGATTTATAGTTGGGAAAAGGTAGCATTCTTTTACTAAATTGAATAATAATTTCATGCTTCATCATGTTAAGTGAAATAAGCCAGGCTCAAAAAGACAAATATTTCATGTTTTCTCTCATATATGAAATCTAGATGGAAGTGCTTATATAACATACATAGTACACATAGGACATGGAAGTAGAAAGGAACTAGGAAAAGGGGACAGAGAAGGGAAGCGGGAGCAAGAGCGTGATGGGATGTTTGTGACTCGAAAGCTGGAAGAAGTAGTCAGAGGAGGAGGGGGCCGGCAAGAGTCGGGAGGGAAATGGAAGGGCACTGGAGAGCACTGAAAAGAAATCATAATGATACATGTGTATGAAAATGAAAATGAAACCTTTACTTTCTATGCTATTTTTGTTAAATCTTAAGAATACTTTTAAAAAGATTTTATTTATTATTTTATGTGTATGAGTATTTTGCCTGCATGTGTGTAAGTGCACCCATGTTGCTCAATGCCAGTGGGAGTCAAAAGAGGGTGTTGGATCCCCTGGAACTGGAGTTATGAAAGGTTATTAGCCACCATGTGGGTGCTGAGAATCGAATCTGGGACCTCTGCAAGAGTAGCCAGTGCTCTTAACTGCTGAGCCATCTCTCTAGCCCCATAAGGGATACTTTTACCTTCAAGTTCTTTGAACATGAAGGTGGCAAAAACTCATGTTTACAAAATTATCATAGTGACCTAAAACAAAAATCTCTGCGCTGTCCAGCCAGTCTTGAAAGCTTAATGTTTGTCCCTCTGACTTTTGTTAGTGTGACTTTGATGTTGGTCTTAGAATTTTCCAACTTCAGTTTTATTTCAGGGGAGTACTGGCCTGAGCACGCTACATGTTGGGTTTCTAACCTTCCTCGCAGACCTCCAGGGCTGTTCACATTATGCACTTATCATATTCAATCTGACTAATTCTAAAGCCAGAGCTGCAGGACATGTAAAAAAAAACAGCTGTTTTATTTTAGCTCCAACAGTTGTCTGTCTTTCTCTCCAGTCAGTTTAGCTCAAAGCACAGTTACTGTTCAACACAGCAGTTGCTTGTTTGGGCACCCTTAATCCTGTTACAGGCATCAGATAGAATTCTGAACAGCAGCAGTCTTAATAATGAGGATTTGTTCTCCTGCCTTCTGCCTTAGAATTGAAGAGACATGGCGATTGTGGCAGAAGTTTCTGGATGACTATTCTCGTTTTGAAGACTGGCTGACGGTTTCAGAAAGGACAGCTGCATTCCCCAGCTCTTCTGGGGTGCTCTATACGGTTGCCAAGGAAGAACTAAAGAAATTTGAGGTGATTCATAGCTCCAAATAAGAACTGTGTATTTCACGATGAAAGTAGCTGACTGGTAGTTGGTGTTCCAAGGCATAAAATATGTGCCATGTTGTTTACATCCCTTTGGGAATAGCCGTGTAACCACCCATAGTAGTGCCCTGTGAGTAGGCAAAGAGGGGTAAAGGAGTCTTTATTTCATTTGACGATTATCAAGAATTACAAGAAGTGATAATAAAGAAAGATTTTAGCTAGATGCGGTACTGCATACCCGTGATCCCAGGACTTCAGAGGCAGAGGCAGGAGGAGTGCAAGTTCAAGGCCAGCCTGGCCTATATAGCAATACTGGGTCTTAAGAAAAAGGAAAGTGAGTCAAA